CTACCCACTGAGCCACAGGTGTCTTCGCAAACTTTATTTTTGACCATGATAGTATATCATCAGGATGGCACCTGCCTACATAACACTAATGGTATATGCAGTCATGAACTGGGCTCCAAAAGAGGGACTAGGTCTTCCTCATCTTTTGTTACTACAGCACCTGAGGACAATGACGACAATGACGGTAACATTCCATGTTTATTACGTGCCCAGGACTGCTCTAAGAGCTGTACACATATCACCTTATTTAATCTTCACAACACCCAAACCTGTGAGGTAAGTATTAACCGCCATCCCATTTTACAGATAAGGACATCCAAGCATGAGAAGTTAAATAATTTCCCATGGCCCAAGATCACCCAAATATTAAGCAAGAAAGGATTCAAACCCTGGCAGCCTTATCCCGTAAGCGGGAGCTCTTACCACAAGCCAGTGAAAGGCCACCTTTGATACACACACACACACACACACACACACACACACGTATATGTGCATATATACATATATAGAGTCTTAAAGTATTTGATCAAAGGCTTTTATAGTCATGCATACATTAAAACTGTATACAAAACGTCTTTACTCTTCGCCCCCAGTGGTCCCACTAGTCAAGTTGTAATTAGGCAACAGCAGACTACAAGCAATTTGAAGGCAAAAAATCTTTTTAAATCTCTTTAATACTTTATGGTGTCCCACCAAAAATAAAGCCAGAGAATCTCAGGTTAAGGTTCCTCCAATAAAAGGAAATCAAAGCAGGTAGGACAGGGATAGTCAGGGTGAGCTGCTGACCAGACTATGTCACAGATGAATATTCTCTCCTGTTAACTGGTCTGCAGTGACGCTCTCAGCACTGCAGTGCTGCCAGGCAGTCTGAAGTCTGAGCTCATGAACGCTGTGCTGCAAAACTAACCAACAACTATATAGGAAAATAATTCCTTTTCTCTACTGATTTTATTCAGACCCCAGTCCTACTCTAGGTTTGAGAGTTAGATATTGGGAAAGGGCCAGCTTAACCACTTACTGGGATGGATTGTAGTAGCCTAGTCAATAAATGAAGTTTATTTTAGCCTCTCAGTCCTTGGAATGGGTAATATGTGTAAGAAAGGGGAATTATAATTATTTCTCTGATGTACAGAAAATACCTGTTATCTAACCACCTTAAGCCAATGCCCATATCATGTGAATTAAATTGCCTGATTATACATATGGTTATAAGAAAACCCAGACTATTCAGTGACCTACAAAAGAAAAGGGGGGAGGAGAAACCACACACCTCAGAAAGACCGAGAAACAAATGAAAAGAGATGGGAAAAAAATAACTTTCTTTGGTTCCAACTGACCTGACTGCAGAAGTAAGATAAACGCCGCAGTGCATGGGGAGAAAGATCTATCTACCTGAGTTAACCGAAGCAGCAGCTTCTGCAACTTCTAGTACCTATACAGACTCCTCTGCCATTATATAACCAAACCATAGCCTTAATAGGCCATCGTGCTGTATGTCAACAGCTGTTAGGTACATCTAAGCTGTCAGTATTTGAGAACTCCTTCCAAAGTGGATTCAGATAAGCCTGGAGCAGGCCAAAATGTGCTCATGGTTCACCCAAAGCACATGACAACTCCTTGTGAATTAAGCTTCACTCGTGTCATCAGAGTAATTTAAGCAGCAAAAGATGGAGCACTTATAACTGTAACTGGGAAATTGCACACTGCTACAGAGGCACACATGAATGCTGGTGTGGTTCCCTCACACATGCAACTCATTGTCCAAGCCATTTCAGTCTCATTCAAGACCAAGTATTTCCATACACAGGAACTGCATAACTGCACACCACAAATGATCAAAGATAAAAACCAACATAAACAGTGACACCCATTTGTAAACAAGCCAATGTTTAAAATGCTGCAGTCCTAAAGGATACCAAGGTCTCAGAGAAAAACTATGGAAAACACACATACACATACGAAAATTAGAAAGTGGGTAGACCAGCCATAATTAGGCACTGGCTTTGCTGACTACTGAAGACAGAAATGTCTCTTTTATATATACAGCCAAGAATCAACTGTTTGCAATTACATTTACAAAAACATTCAACCCTGTCTGTCACAGTTTTTTTAATCAATATTTTGGCGTATCCAAAGGCTGGAAGATTCAAAATTCCTTAAAGCAGAGACCATAAACCAGGCAGCCTTTAAGTTCGGAGTCTATCTCACAGAAGTTAAAGCAAAATAATCACAGGAATACAATGTGACTATTGGGGGGCGGGGGAGGGAAAAAAAAAAGGAAATACCAAAAAGGAACAAGGCATATTGTTTGTAAATATAAATTTGGCTTGGCCGGTAGTAAACAGGACTGGTGTTTACTACCCTCAGGAATGAGGAGATAACACCAGAATCTTGGCTCAGTCAACTCCCTCTCAGGGTCTGAGGATGTCAGGGAACCCCAGACTTCAGTATCTCCTACAGCTCTGACCTGCAGACTTGAGGCCCTCTGATAACAACTGACAAAAAGGCAGAAGGGGGACCTCCAGAGGAAGTGAAACTGACCAATCAATCCTCCACAGCCACCCACTCTTGCCACCCTGGTAAGGAGGGCCCCTGGTAGGCTTTGACAGAAAAGGGAGGCAGAAAGGAACTTCAGGTTGCAAGTGGGCAGGAGAGCAGACCTAGATAAGTCACTGGTTTCTAAAAACAAGCCCCTGCCAGAAAAGCAAAAACAAGGTAGGTGATGATAAACCAGAGGCCAGGCTGAGGAGGTGAGGGGAATTGATGTGGCTTTGGTAGGAAGCGGCAGCAGCTGTAAGGGTTCTTCATCCCTCAGGTTGAGGGAAAACGCCAACTGCAGTTCCAAATGTAATGAATGACTACGTTAAAAGTATTCATTCAAGGCAGATGTCGACCAAGAGAAAATTGGGGAGTAAAAATGGACTTTGTGGGTTCCATCCAAACTGAAAGATTCCCCCTGATGTCTTAGATTCCAATAATCCCAGGGAAGGAAGCTACATGAAAGTACTACCCATGTTTCTTCCCCAAAAATGAATTTTATATGGATACATATATGGCTTCCTAATTGACCTTGGCCAATTCCACTACTACAGCTCCTCAAATCCCTTGGGAACCAAAGGGCCCCATTTGTAATCCTCCAGTGTCTGGGTTCTTCAGCTTACCCACCACCACTGAAAGCTCACCTGGGTTCCACAAAGCCCACAATTCCTGACCTCCAACAACCAAAAATAACCAGCACTCAGCTCTCCCAAATTGTTTAACCCCTGATTACCTAGTGCCACCATAACCCCACATCTCCCACCAGAGCCTCCAGTTCACTGGGCCCCTTCCTGGGGACAAGCAAGGCAATTTCTCCCCCTTTTATTTCCCCATTCTCTTCATTGCCTCCTCCAATAATAGTGTCTTTCCTCAGGCTCCTGCTGGCACCATCTATCAGTCTTAGATGATCAGATGCAGATTCCTACCTCTGTCTTAAGGCACCCCCAGGTTCCTCAGACCTCCCAGTACTCTACAGGGCCACACACCCCTCGTCCGTGCCCCAGCCGGCCTGGTGCCCCTCATAAGCTCAGGTCTGCCAGTGTCCCCTTGTCTGCCCCTAACCGCCTGGTCCACGTTTCATATGCCCCTGCCCTCATTCCCTTAGGATTTCCTAATTGCTAGTTCCAGAGTCTTCTTGGCTTACAGTCTACCGGCCCCATGAGAGTTCAGCCCCTTCTTTCCAGTCATCCCTTCTTCTAACCTTCCACACAGCCCTGAGGACCCCCTCCCCAAGCCTGGTTCCTCAGGTCCCCGGGTCTCGGTGCCCTGTGGCCCCCCTTCGCCTTGTGCTGCGGAGTTTCCCCTCCTCAGGTCCCCGGTGTCCCTACCTTCTCACTCTGCACACAGCCCAGACAGCCTGCTCCCCGTCTCCCCGGCCCCCAACGCTCCCCAACACGCTGAGCTCACTCGCTGCGCCCGACCCCTCAGCCTGGAGGGTCGCGGACCTTTCCCGGCCCCGCCACACTCGGAGGGACGGTCCCGGGCTGCGCAGCCCCCCGGCCTCCCGGTCCCCCGGCGCCAGTACCTTGGCCTTGGTGACGAGGTGCGTGGCCCGCTTGACCACAGCGAAGTTGCCCTTGCCGATGGTGCGGTCGATCTCGTAGTACCCGATGCGGGCGGGCATTGGTCCGCGGGAGGCCGGGGCTGGGGGACGCGGCGGGCCAGCCGCCGGGGACACAGCAGCGGGGGCAGCCGGGGGCCCGGGGGCGGGAGGAGGCAGCAGGCGGCCCGCCGGCCCGGCTCCCCC